CCACTTCCACCCAAAGACTTGGAAGCCTTTCTGATTCACTGGTCAAATACTCCAGCTCAATTTGATTAAAAATTCATTGGCTTCTCTTTCCTGTAAAAAAGAATAAATAAGTGAGCAAACATCAGGGACTGAGGCTGTAAACTGAAGTGTGAAAGCCCAAACAGGCTGAAATCGTTACAGGGAAAACCGTCAGCTCCAGAACATTTCTATTTCCAAAAATACCAGCCTTCCAGAGGGGAGGCTGAACTGGTTCCATTTTCCAGTATCCCTGACAGCACATTCCCCAGAAGGGTCCTTTGATTCACTCAGGATATATTTCAGTGGTTACACGAATGGGGTTTGAAGTCAGACTGAGTTTTGCCAGCTGTGTGTCTTTCACTGAAGCACTGAACTTTTCTGAGCCTTGGTCTCCTCATCCATAAAATAAGACTTTAACCTTCGTCTTGTAGAATACACAATGCACCCAGAGCAGTGCCTTGTCCTAAAATACTCAGCAGAAAGTGTACATTTGGTATCATTATCCTGACCAGCCTCAATTTTTCTCTCTTTTTATCCCTCCTCAGTCACTTGCTAAACCCCATCCTTGAAGGTAGTCCAACCCCCACCCACACACACACACAACTTGGCCGTCTTCTTTCTGGCCAGGTCTTTCAGCTGGTCAAAGTTCAGCTGGTGCCAAACCTTCCTTAAACTGGCTCACACCACCATCCTCCAAGCCTCCTGCAAGGGGTCCGTCTCCCTTCTTTTCCCGCTTCTCCCTCAAGCCAGCTTTTGGCCATTTGCTGGCAAATAATAAATCTAGAGGCTGAAAAAATAAAATCCATCTTTCATTCAAGGAAACACCTCAAGAAATCGATTCTTCCCTAACCTATTTCTATCTCCTGAACTGGGCCCATGGTAGGTGATCAATGAGTATCGGCTGGAAGCCTGGCCAGGAGAGAGGACAGTGAGCAGCTGACCGCCAGGACGTCCCTGCCCTGTGACCGATGTGAATCCCAGGAACCGCTTGGACCCAGACCCTGGGCCAGGCCCAAAGTCATCTAGTTGGAGAGCTGCCTGATGCAATAGAAAAAAAAAATGTGAATTTGGAAGGGAGACGTGCCTGATTTGAATTTCGGCTTCCTCTCGGGCTCTCTGAGTGTGCTTGGGCAAGCTGCTTCACTTCTTTGAGACTTAATTTCCTTATTTATAAAGTGAGATGAGCCTATAATGAGATACAATTCACACTCACTAGGATGGCTATAATAAAAAAGACGGATAATAACAAGTGTTGGCGAGGATGCAGAGAGATTGCAACCCTGACGCACTTCAGGGAGAACGAGAAATGGTGCAGCCACTTTGGAAAATAATCTGGCAATTGCTCAGGAGTTGACATGTAGAGCAACCACATGACCCAGTAATTCTATCCCCAGGTGTATCCCCAAAGAAAGGAAAACATACATCTGTACAAGAATTTGGACACAAAGGTTCATAGCTGTATTATTCATAATAGACAAAATAGACAACCCAAGTGTCCATCACCTGATGAATGGACAAGCAGAATGTGGTACCCTCGTGCGATGGAATATTATTTGGCCCCTTAAACGAAAGGGAGCACTGACCTGCTACAACATGGTGGGCCTCAAAAACATGATGCAAAGTGGGAAAAGCAGACACAAAATATTGCATATTGTAGGAACCTATTTATACGAGACGTCCAGAATAGGCAAATGCTTAGAGACAGAGAGTAGATGAGTGGTTGCCAGGGGCTGGGAGGAGGGGGAAAGAGCGTGATGAAAATGTTCTTTTGGGGGCGAGGAGATGTTCTAAGATTAGCCAGTGGGGATGGATGCGCCACTCTGTGGACACACTATGAACCACTGAACTGCACTCTTCAACAGGGTGAATTGTAAGGTATGTGGGTTTTAGCTCAAGAAAGCTATTATTTCGGGAAAGTGATAGGTAGGGGCGCCCGGGTGGCTCAGTTGGTTAAGCATCCGACTTTTGGTTTCGGCTCAGGTCATAATCTCACAGGTTCGTGGGTTTGAGGCCTGTGTAGGGCTCTGCACTGAGAGGGCAGAGGCTGTTTGGGATTCTCTCTCTCTTTCTCTCTGCCCCTCCCCACTTTATGCTGTCTCTGTCTCTCTCAAAAATAAATAAATACTCCTAACAAAATAAAATAAAATAAAATAAAATAAAATGTGATGGGTAGGAGTGCCTGGGTGGTTTAGTCAGTTAAGGTTTGGACTCTTGATTTTAGCTCAGGACATGATCTCATGGTTTATGAGTCTGAGCCCCATGTCAGGCTCTGGGATGACTAGGCAGAGTGTGCTTGGGATTCTCTCTCTCTCTCCTTCTCTCTCCCCCTTTGCTGCTCTGTCTCTCTCACACACACACAATAAATAAGTAAACTTAATAAAATGTGATGGGTGGGGCACCTGGGTGGATCAGTCGGTTAAACATCCAACTTTGGTTCAAGTCATGATCTTGCAGTTCATGAGTTGGAGCCCTGCATCAGGCTCTGTGCTGACAGCTCAGAGCCTGGAGCCTGCTCCGGATTCTGTGTCTCCCTCTCTCTCTGCCCCTCCTCACCCTCTCAAAAATAAATAACCATTTTTATAAAATGTGATGGGTAAGGCCACCCCACCCACTTTACAGGGTCATCCTGAGGCTCAGAGGAAGACGGGTCGTGCTCCAGGGCTCGGGACGCAGAGTCACCCTATTATAAATAGGAGGGCCAAGGCCATAGGCCTTCATACAGATGGAGCCATTTCCTGCCCTCCCTTCTTCCCTGCTCTGGCTCAGGACCCCTCAGGGAGAGAGTTGCTGAGGAGTGACACTGCCATCTGGCAAGGCCAGGAAGAGGTCTGGGCCTCCAATATGTCTGCCCCAGAGCCAGGGAGGCAAGAAGTATCTCCTGTCAGAGCCGCAGACCAGGAGGGACCTGACCCTGCCAGAACGCTCCTTTGTGTCCACTGCTGCCTCTCCCCTCACTCAGAGAGCATCAGGCCCCGCTTCCTACTGGAGCAGCAAGGAGCCAGCTAAACCTCAGGTTTGGAGGAACTGAAAGCAAGCTGAGGAGAGCAGTGCAGACCATATTCTAATGACCATAATTCAAACCTCCCGCGAACATCAAATGCTAACATAATAGTAATAATGATGATGACTAATATTTAGCAAATGAGCATTTGCTACCTGTCAGGTACCACGCTGTGCATTTACATGTATTGACTTCTTTAACCTTCACAAAGATCCTACGAGGCAGGGACATTGCGAATCCCACTGTATAGATGAGAAGATGAAAGCACAGAGGTTTCAAGGAAACTGATCAAAGTGGCACGGCTAGAGATGGCAGGGGCAGGACTTGAACCCTGGCACTCCGGTGCCACTCTCTATGTACTGATCCCTTCTGTTAGACTTCTGTATAAACGCTACAGGCTGCACACAATGGAAGATCAAGGTTATTACTAAGACCGGTCAACGCCCCCCGCCCCCCTGCCAGAAGGAGGTCTCAAACTTCATCAAGCATCAGAATCATCTGGGGCCTGTGAAAAATACAGAGTCCTGGGCCCACCCCAGCAAAAGGGATTCACTAAGGCTGGATGGCCCAGGAATCTGCATTTGTGACCACTCTACCCGGTGACCCCAATAAAGGCTATTCAGGACATACTTGGAAACACTCGGCTTCTCCGAATCAAGACCCAACTTTGGGCCTGGCCAACTGGATCTTGGGCCACACCACACTTACCCAATGTCATTGTCCTCATTCAAGTCCCAAGCCCTCCACAGGAATAGCAGCCCACTCTGGTTTTCCCTGCTCTAACCCCTCCCCCAGCCCCTTATGGAGGGTCCGGCTTCAGAAACTCATTGTAAACTGCTTGCTATTTCTACATCAGTGTCCAGGGCTGCAGGACTTTCTGATGAACTAGATCATCACAAGTGCCTTAAATGTAAAACATCTTCTTTTATATTCCTCACACATGTCCCCCACAGCTCACAGTAGGTCAGCACTCAATAGAGACCTATAGATTTGGTTACAGATCTCAGGTGCCAACACATTCTTATTTCAATGGCCAACATGTCATATGCTCAACTGGCCAGTTCAATGGACTTGGTCCAACTGTCTGGCTTATTCCTCTACAGAATCCAGGCGCTTTCTCTATACCAGGTGCCATTCCACCACTTAGGGTCCAGAGGATGCACCCTCTCTGAGGGCCGACATACCCAAACACAACTCTCATTCTAGTACAGTGTCCTTGAGTCCAATTTTACCCCCCAGGGGACATTCAGCAATGACCAGAGATGTTTTCATTTGTTATAACTGGGGGTGACATGGCTGCTGTATTCTAGAGGGCAGAGGCGAGGGATGCTGCTAAATATCCTACAGTATATAGGACAGACCCCCCACAGCAAAGCAGTACCCAGCCCCCAAAGAATACTGCCAACGTTGAGAAAGCCTGCTCTACTGGGAAATGCTAAGCCCTACAGCAGAGCAACTACAGGTGTCAGGGACCTAAAGGAAGGAGCCAGTAGCCTGCAAGGGAGTAAGAGGCGGATGGAAAGGGATTCGCAGCAGAGGTGCTTAATACATACACATCGAGTGCTGAACAATGGATGGGGAGGGTTTTACCAGACAGAAGCAGAGGAGGAAAGAGGCAACGTTCCTGGCAGCAAAACGTGAGAGTATTTGGCACATTTGGGAAACTACTGCTGGGTATGATGTGACCAGAGCGCCTGGCACTCGCTCCTCTCATTCATTCATTCCGCACTGTCGCGTGCCATCTTATTTTCATTACCCATTTGCAAACTCATCAGCAAACTCTGTCCCCAGCAGAATGGAGTGGTCAGCTCTGGCCCTGAACCATTCCTGATTCCAAATCAGTTATCTCTGAACAAATGAGGTTTCACTTCAAGGATGGGACAGGTTGAGCTGAATGTGGCCAGTTAGCTCAAGAGGTGAGAGCTATGAAAACACAAGGTGCTTCAAAGATTTCGGTGGCTTGATCATAAAAGGCTAGTACCTGAGGTGTCACGTCTTCCTTCCCAGGACCATAAACGAGCAGTGTCTGCTCCGGCAAATGAAGAAGATAGATTTTGAAGAATGTCTGTGCTTCTCAAAGTTTAGGCAGAAATGAAAATGCATTCCAAAGTAATTCTGAAGGAAAAAAAAAAAAGAATTCTGGAAATATTTGTCTCTTTAGGAAACAACAAAAACAACAACCCTTGATGGCCTTGTTGTTTACTTCAAATAGCTATTTTCCTGGATGAGCTCAGTCTCGGCCTCCCTCCACCCCCCTCACGTGCCCCTTGCTCTCACTCTGGCTTCTCCATCTCTGTCTCTCATCACAACAAGTGTCTGTGTTGTGTCCATGTCTCCCTGTTTTTGTCTGCATGTTGTTTCTTTGAATGTGGGGTCTGCTGCTCGTGGTCTCTCTCTGTCTCTCTCTCTCTCTCCCTGATTTTGATATTTGCCTTATTTCTCCTCATATGTTTCTGACTCAGCTGCTCTCCCCCTCCCCCATTCCTTGAACCTCTGTCCCCCTTCCCTTCATCCTCTCTCAGTAACTGGCCACAGTATGTCCCTGAGGTGTGTTTTGATGAGGGGTTGTGTTTGCTAGAGAGAGGGTTACATGCTCCCCATTCCTGATTTGTAAAGGACTGATTTGCAAGAGACTGTAACCTTTTCTCTTTCTCTCTCCCCCTGGCTCCCTGAATGAAGCTGCATTTTACTTTCATCTTCCTCCAGTGATTTATCTTCCCAGTCTGTGGGCCATGCCCTTGATAGAAAACAATGAGTTCTCCACCTTCATTTTACTGTAATTCAGAGAAGAGCGGGCCCAGGTGGTGCGCAGGCGCCGAGGCGGGTGGTGATGGGGGAGGCAGCCGCACGCTTCTGGGTTGGGTGACCCCAGCGCTCTGCCATCGAGGGCTTTTCTTGGTTACTCTGATTTCAGCGGAGCTGGGGCCTGCTTTGGGTTTAACATGTGGCTCTGGAGGAAAACTTATCTACAGAGTCTAATTTATCACCTTTGATGCCGCTCGTGGCCAGAGACGGTGGAAAATGATTAAAGATGAGGGAATCTGTCTCGGGGAACACATCTTTTACAGCTTAAAAGGAGAGAGGTTTCCAGCCTGGCAGGGATGTTAAAGTAGATCCTGGAGCTTTGGGCTTTTCTGTCCCACTTGAGCCCTGGGTGTGGCAGGAAGTATTTCAGCTTGGTCAGCAAGTCCGGCGTCCTGACCTCTGGTTGGACTTGACTCTCTATCTTTCTACCCTGGTCCCTGTCCACCAGGATGGCTTCTGACAGGGGTCATTATAGAGTCACCGGGCGTGCAACATCAGAGATGGAAGAAGAGTCCAGTCAAAAGGCCTTATTGTTAGAGGAGAAAATGAGGATCAGAGGGTGGAAATGATTTGCCCAGAAAGCACAAGGCCCCCTAGCGGCCGACGTTCCCCAGTCCGCCTCCAGGCCTGGCTGCACATCTACCAAAGGTAGTTTTACCTGGCTGGGGTCTGTGAGCTCGACCCCTATCTGCACCGACAGCTCAGGATCGGGGGCACAAAGCCAGCCTGGCGGCACGTGTGGGTCCATATGGCGGCCCTTGGGAACCATCTCAAGGCACACATAATACTCACCCCCAGAGAGATCGCAGATGACCTCCTGCCAAAGTGAACGGGAAGGAGGAAGGGAAGCTACTGGAGCAAACACGCCTGGGTCTGTATTCAGTCTCATGAAACTCAGTATCATTTATTGACCAATCAGCGTCAGCCAGGCCCTTTGCCAGCACTGGGGGTGCAGCGTGAAGTTTAGAGCCTTAGGGAGTATTGAGGTATGTGTGGGGTGACAAAGGGGTGGAGAACCAGTCCTGCCTCCCAACTCACCCTGGATGGGGGGGGCGGGGCAGAGTGGGAGAGGCCCTAAGAAGGTTTCCTGGAGGAGGTGATGTCGTGAGTAACAAGTAGACTAATGTTCCGTCAGACCCTTCCCCAGTGAGCTCCCCATCAGGACCCTCTGAGGAATACCACGGAAATAAAAGGCATTCGGACTTATTAGCAATTCAGATCAAAGCACTCAGTGTTTCCACCTCAGCCTCCATGCTGGCTCATCAGCGATGTGACTGCAGGCAAGTCACATCACCTCCCCAGTCTCCCTTGCCCCAAGGGGCTCAGGGGGGTGTCCAGAGGGACGTGCTGTGGGAATGCACTTTGCACATTTTAAACTACTTGGACCTCATGGGTCGTTGCAGCCCTTAGGATCCCATTTGAATCTTCTGCCCATGGTGTGTAGCTGAGATCAAAGCCATACCCCCTCCCTTGAGGGTGCAGCAAAGGAGCAGAGCCTCAGACTCCATGTCCGCAAGCATGCCCTGAGCTTCTCCAGGCCTCAGTTTCCTCACCTGAGAAACGAGGGCTTTGACCTCTTCCTCTAAGGCACCTTCCAGTATGAACGCCTGTGATGTTAGGCCAGCAGCCAAGAGGCGGAGGCTGGGACCCGCAAATGGCCAGCTCTCTGCCACAGCAGGTGCTGCCTTGGCCTTGCCTCCAGGCGGGGGCCCACATGACCTCTGACCCGGCCTGCACCCTCAAGTGAAGCCCATCGTTCTGCCACCGTGGGGCACCAGCACAGGAGCAGAGCCTTGCTCCACAAGGGAACCAAGATACTGGAAATGAGCTCCATCCCCAAAAAGAGGGAGCTGAAGGAAATATGCTCTGCCTTCTTCCTCCAAATAAAAACAGAGGCAGATGGCTGGGAGGGTTTCCATGGTTAATTAAATATGCTTTCGTCTCTAAGTCAATTACGAAGTGATTCCTGCAGGGAGATGTTCTGCTTTGCGTGGAGTGGATTCAGGTGATGGCCTGGGGAGGCCGCGGGGCCCTTCTGCCTCTTCCCCCCTCAGCCGCACAGAGATGCTCCAGGCCAGGCCTCAAAGGTGGCAAAGTCCACCTCCTGTGGTGACGGGAGCCACTCACCTCCCAGCGGATCTTTAAGTGAGGACAGAGGTACCGCACAGCAGAGCTGAGGCTCTGTGATTCCCTTTCTGGGACTTTCTTCCCAGGAAATGATCAGAAACCCAGATAGAGATTTCCCGGACAAGAAGATTCACCAGAGCATCATTTATAATCATGAAAAATAGGAAACTGCCTGGGTGCCTACAGAGAATTGGCTGACTAAATTCCGTGGCAACCAGACAATGAAATATTATGCAGTCATTAAAATGGCATTTTCAAAGCATAGATAATGACATGGGGAAATGCACAGCCTGTACGAAGTGAAAAGGAGCAAAATGCAAAACTGTGTATGAAATACCGCCGAATTTTATAAATAGCTGTGCGCAGAAAAAAAGGTGGCACATTAAATGCTAATAGTAGTTATTTCTGAGAGAGAAGAGTCTGGGAGATTTTCTTTCTCCCTATGTATCTTGCTGTATTTTCTTAATTCTTTGTAATGAGCATGTATTGCTCTTATCAGGAAAAAAAATTTTTTTTCTTAGATGCCAGACCCCCTTATAATGGACTTCCGAGTGGGTCTGAACAATTTTATCACACCTTCTTTGAAGTAAATTAATTTAACTAAAATAGAAGCTTCCAGGATGGATAAAGGTAGGCAATGGTTTGTTTTCTAGAACTCTTGAGTTAAGATGCTTTCTTTTTTTTTTAATTTCTTACTGTTTTTTTTTTTCATTTTTTAAAAATTTATTTCTGAGAAAGGAAGAGACAGCATGAGCAGGGGAGGGTCAGAGAGAGAGGGAGACACAGAATCTGAAACAGGATCCAGGCTCCGAGCTAGCTGTCAGCACAGAGCCCAAGACAGGACTTGAACCCACAAACTGTGAGATCATGACCTGAGCTGAAGTCGGCCGCCTAACCGACTGAGCCACCCAGGCACTCCAAGTTAAGATGCTTTCAAAGGGAAGCACAGCACATATTAGGTGTCTATCACCCGCCCCGGTGGACTGTGACATGATGTCCTGCTCTATTAATGATGACAACTGTATCCAAGGCCAGGGGAGAGGAGGTAGGCATGAGCTCCCAGAATCACCTAACCTGAAGACTGGATGAGACTGTGAGGTCCTCTGAGCCGGGGAAGCCCAGAGAGACTGAGGAAGCATGGTGATGACAGGTCAATGGTGAAACCGTGACCCGGCCAGAACCACAAGCCTAGACTCTCCTCGGTCTCTGGAACCTCTTGAAGTGTCCAGAATGATATAGGGACAATGGCAGCCAGGCTGACCTGTCGCAGCTTGGAAGGCATTGCTGAGCTCGCATGTGACAGGCAGAAGGGACAGAAAGAGAACAAACATTCACAAATGTTTATACGATTCCAAATCCACCTGACATCATAGTGGCCACCATCTCTTGTCCACTTAGCAAGTCCATGGCACTAAAACAACTCACGTCCCAGGATTAAAAAGTCGAGGGCCTTACCATGAGAGGGCAAGGAAGAAATTCAGCGTTTTGTCCTTTATGAAGTGCTGTCTGGTGATGGTATCCTCCCCACTGGGGCCCTCGGTTGCTTCTCTGTACAGGGCCATCCCAAAACATGTGAAGTCCTCCATGGGCGTCAGGCCTCTCTTGATGCCACACCTACCAGACATACTGCTCAGCGTCACATGTGTCCTCTCCGCCATCTAGGAACCTAGCCACCAAAGTAAGGAGAATGCCAAGATTACGCAAACCCTAGTGGTAAGGGGAGCGAAGAATTCCAATGCTGTCCCACTCACCCCAACCACAAAACAAAACAAAGAAATGTGGGGTAAAGAAACAGAGATGTTAGTGAGTTCTCAGCTATAATGCAAGACGTTCTCCAGGAGAACAGAAGGGGGAAAGGACCCAGGCCACACTGGGGAGGCAGCCTTGAGTGTCCGCTGCTCCCCACAACTTCTTAAGCCAGGTACACGGCAGAACTCATGATTCCATTTAACAATCTCCCCCTATTAAGCTTCTGCTACAGGAAGGAAGAGATAATTATTAAAAGTATTCTCAAATCTCTCTGACCACAATCCCAGCATAACATAGCCCATCACCAAATTTGTCAAAGCCATCCATTTGCCTACAGAAGACCAGCTTACTTTACAATGAAATTTTTAAAAAATGATTCACATTATGAACAGTTGCTTTATAGCCAGCTCCCTTGGAATGGGTCTGCTTTGAAAGTGAAGGATG